TTGACAAGTGTCACTGTCACTAGTATGTCATTAGGTGGTTATCATAGCTCTCCTTTTTTGTCCGTTTTGTTTAACAGCTGACAAGAAGTGTAAGAGCCTAGATGAATTTAGCAAGCACGTTCTTTATTTAGAAGAAGCACCACATTTTTTTCACCTGTAGAATTTTTTTGTTTATGAGCCTCAGCGTATATGTATATATTTATGGAGAATGTCGTGCCACGATGTCTACTGGTTAAAAATAACAGGCACGCTTTTACGTCAGAAGGGGCTTAGATTTGGAAGCTGTCTAGAGCTCAGATAGGTTTGCCCTCTTTTCCTGGCTTGTAGGCAATAGGAAGCTGTAGATTAGGAGGTACACTTTGGCTGGTTGGCATGAGCTGGGACTAAATTGAGGACATTTATTAGTAGAAGCATTCTGGTGACCTTCTAGAAGCATGGAAAATACAGATGAGTCAACATAATACAGATGCCAAAGACTCGTGATCCAGAAGGAACATTTGACAACAGCTAATGATGGGTGTTTACACCTAAGAAGATGCAAGGCGACAGCAAGGGGGAGGGAAGAGGTCCATATCTCATGTGTTGTGTCTGATCAAGCTATGTGGAATGGAGCCGAGAATGTGCCAGGGTTATGTAATTGCCAAAGATACCAATGCAGGTATGGGATCAGCTGTAGGGTAAGAGATAGATCCAGAAGCCGCAGTCCATTAAGAGGCAGTGTCAAGGACACATCTGTTTTGAATGGTTTGTCACATCAAGGGAATAGACCGGAGCCACAGGAACAGAACCAGTGTTACAAGAAGAAATGCAATGATATCAGGAGGCGTCACAGGAAAGAGAAAGAAGTGTGGATGAAAGAGACGGAAGCGCTTTTGAAGGAAATTTCAGCATTAAAAGTAAATTTGGTAGTCCAGTACAAAATTTTTGATAATGTGAATGAAAATAATGCTGCATATTATTATGATTTAGCAATGCTACATCAAAATTTGCAGTCATATTTCTTGTTGGTAATGTAATAATTGCCATGCGATTAATCCTTTATTTTCAGCATAGTTGATCAGTCATTTTCCAAACACAAAATATGGTTTAATTGTATATATGATCCAGCATGCTGATATATTTGTGTAACCCGCACCTAGGACCTTCATTGCATTGCCTCATTATCACTTGTTTACTTCTTATACACTATGATCTTTACCAAAGACGAAGTTACTCTTCATTTTGTTTCCAAACATCTCAGAAAGAATGGAAGCTTGTGTTATTTTTCTGTTTCAGCTTTAACATGTGTATATAATATTCCCATTACAATTGAACAGTCTACTCAGTGCTGCAATCTATATGGCAAAGATTGTGTGATGACATTTTGGAAGTGGTGGAGCATGAGCTGTTTTCTCTGCATGCCTGACTCCTTGTGCTTTTCATGGATTTGCCATTGATTTTTGCCTCCATGAAGTTTAGATTAAAAACATTTTGGACAGATTTACTAAAATTGGATCACTCAGAATCTGGTGCAGCTCTACATAGTAGCCAATCAGCTTCCAGGTTTTATTGTCAAAGCTTAATTGAACAAGCTGAAGTTAGAAGCTGATCGGTTACTGTGCACAGCTGCACCAGATTCTGAGTGATCCAGTTTTAGTAAATCTGCCTAAATGTTTTAATCTAAACTGCATGGAGGTAAAAATCAATGGCAAATCCATGAAAAGCACAATGTGTGCACCAGTTTTAGTAATCCCCACCAGCGCTGTATATCTTCATGTTTGTTTCACATGTTCCTAAGTGCAAAATGTATTTATGTAGGTTTCCAACTAGGCTATATTACCACCATTGTGTTCCGTTTAATGGATGACTTCATGCATATTTACACACAGACATTTACAGAGATATTATTGTTTGTGTTCATGAGCAGCCTAACTGATACAGCACAATGACTGGCTTTGTACTGCAGATGCAGAATTGGTATAGCCATTTACTATTGTTTAGTTTTAGTTGCTGATGAACATTGGTAAACAACAGTGTCTTACTAATTTGGGGGGGGGGGGGGGTTGATGAAAAGAGAAATTGAAATGGCCGTTATATAGTATGTGTGCATTTGACAGCTAGGGCTTAAAAATTTAAATTCTGATTTTTTTTTTTCAATGTGAGAGTAGTATCATGGAGCTAAGCTCTATTTACACAAATTATAGCTGAGAAATGCTTACATTTACTGCACCTATTTTTTTATATTAAATCGTATAAGCATAAATATCCAGGTTCGTATAAATATAGTTGATTGGCTGTACATCATACTGCCAAATATTTGCATATACCACTATCTGATAGGAAGAACAGTACAATACCATTGCCTATTTCTACAAAGTCATAGGCTATTAAATATGGCCATAGGAATTATATTACATCTCCCACTGAAAGGGCAAGTGATGCTGATAAGGAGGAAAAATCACACCCTATTCAATAAAATGTTAGCTTTGCATGGCATTTCTCAGGGTGAGTTTCCTAACGATGAACAGTGGATCATGCCAATGTAATGAGTGTTTAAATGGCCACTTGAGTCTCCATTGGATGCTCATGTGGCAGGGTGAAAACATAGCAGTACAACTAGCAGACAGGGAAAGTGTTTTTCTATCCTTTAACAGAAAGTGCTTGGACAAGAACCTTCATGGAAATATCACCACGATAGCGGCAGATTTAAAGATGTTAAAAATTACTTTTGAAATAGCCTTACAGCAAAGCTTCAGGCTACTTTTGAATGTGCCACAAGCAGTGTTAAAGCTGGAGTTTGGTTATGGCTTTTTTCATAGTTACCTTGCTGAAGCATGGACCAATATATCCACTTGATGACCAGCGTCATCAAGTGGATGCAGGCATCATCCCGGTATTGTTTATTAGAGCCGACGGTCAGCTTTCTCGTAAAAGCAATCCTAGCAGCTAATTAGCCACTGGATTGCTTTTACAAGCAGCCGGAGAGGATGTCCACCCCTCCCGCCTCCTTCCGCAACTCTCCCGGACTCTCCCGACCCACCGGGATACCCAAGCAACCAGCCGGGATACCCAAGCGACCAGCTGGCTGACCAGAGAGGTAATCAGAGACCAGAATGGCTCAGATCTCCTCTATGGTATAGGAAACCAGAAGCGATGAGCGTTCTTCAGGCTTGGTTTCTCCAGATGTAAACAGTGCCATTTTTAAGTTGGGAATACATCTGATCATTCCGATTTTGGTGTGATCAGATGCTTTAAGGGCAGAGGGAACATCTGGGATCTGATAGACCCAAGATCTCTTCATAAAGAGTACCTGTCACTGCCCATTGCTTTCACAGGGGAAATTTATATTCTGTGATAAGAATAAAAGTGATAAAAAAAAAAATTAAAGCAACAGTGTAAAAATAAATGTTTAAGCCTCCCCCTGTGCAAAGATGAACACACGCGTCATTCATGCACGCAAGCTATCTCCACAAATGTCAGATCGAGGGCAGTAATTCTAGAACCAGACCTCCTGTGTAAATCTAAAGTTATAACCTGTAAAGGCTTTTAAAGCATCTCCTATGGATAATAAAATTTAAGTCGCCGCTGTTGGACGGGTATGCGCAATTTTAAAGCATGACATATTTGGTATCTATTTACTCACTGTAACATCATATTTTAAATGTTACCAAGTAATTGGGTATTATATTGTGTTTTTGTGCATTAAAATTCACCAAAGTGTATTTTTTAAAAAATATTGCATTTAAAAAACCACTGTGCAAATATTGTGTGACATAAAAATAATTGCAACATCTACCATTTTATTCTCTAGGACCTCTGCTTTAAAAAATATATAATGTTTGTGTGTTCTAAGTAATGTTCTAGCAATACAGATTGCTAGAAACAAAAAATGTGTCAGAAAAGGTCTGATCTTAAAGTGGATATGTGTGAGTGTATCATACCCGTCCGATATTTGTGGAGGCCGGTAATCATTGTAGTAGGCTCTGCTACTACAGAGATCACTGCTAGCTGCCAGGTTCCATACTGAACATTTGCCCTGTTGCATATTAACCACAGGAGGGTCGCCTTCTCAGCACAGGCATCTTTCAGAGAACACTTTGCCACATGCCGAGTGAGTGATCTCCTGTGTTCACTATGCAGCAGGGCAGTCGCTTGGCATGGGACCTTTTACAATGATTTTCAGTTTCAGTTTCCACAGGGATCCCACAGGTATGGCTATGCATACCTACATTGGTCCCAGCTGAACCAATATAACAATGCAAAAAAGCCATATTTAAACTTAAGCCTTAAAGCTGAATTCCAGGAATCTTGAATATTCTCTCGCAGTGGTGGTTGTGCCCCCACAATGCAAGGGTTAACTGCTCATGTAGGTCTGGGGGGCCAGAAATTAGATTTATTTACCCGATCATCTGCTGCCACAGGCTTCACTGCATTGCAATACTGGGTTGTAGCTTCTGCTTTTGATTTACCCCAGCATTCTCTGGAATAAAAAAAAAATCTTATTTAAAAAGCTTGCCTGTTAAAAAGAATTCTGTCATGATGAAAGGGATGTGTGTTGCCACAGTCTTGTTTGATCTTTCATTACTGATTACAGCTGTAGAATTAAGTGGACAAAGTAAAATAGTTCATTTTGGATAAACTTCATTGCATGCAAATAATTCTGCTACAGATTGTATATTCCTATAACAGAATTATTTCAGATATATTTATTAAGTACTTATTAAGTACTATAAGTAGGGAAAATACATGCATGCACTAATGTCATGCATTATTTATATGAAAGCTAAAGGCAGCAATCAATTCCTGTGACAGACTTGATTGATGGTGAATAGGAGGACCACACTTCCACATTCTTATAAGAAAAGAAACTTATGGAATGTTAACCTCCCTGGAGGTATTCCCGAGTGTAGCTCGGGGTAAAGTTTCAGTACCAAAAGTAGTAACCCCGAGCTACACTCGGGAATACCTTGCAGTGCTGCTCCACAATCCCTCGATTACTTACCTTGTCCTGCGCTCCCACGATGTCCCTCCTGCAGTGTCCCCTGGAATGTCCTCCGGCGAATGCCGGCATCTGTCATCTGGTTTCCGTCCCCTGCGAGCGTTGGAACGTATGGGGACGGAACGGCGGGAAATTTGAAAATGACAAAAAGTGACATTCACTAAATTCACTAAAATCACAAAGTAAAACATTACTGTATCAAACCATTTCACATACATTTTGTCCCTAGTGCTTTGTCCTGTGCCCTGCCTGCATTTTTACTGTTCTTTCTGCCTGGAAACTGAGAAATGTCCGTGGCGTCCAAAAAGCGTCCCTTTAGGTCAAAAGCGGTTTTAGACCAGCTAGAGAACAGCGATAGTAAATCAGAACCACTTGCAGAATTGAGTGATAATGATTCGTGGGGAAATTTGTCACCAGACACTGAAAACGATTTTGCGACTTTGCTCAGTGATGTGCGAACTTGGCGCTATATTTCAAATTTCAGTATTTTTGGTTTGATTATATATTATTGAATTAAATTTATATATATATATATATATATATATATATATATATATATATATATTATATATATTATATTATTATTATTATATATATATTATGATTATTTATTAAATTATAATTTATGATTTCGTGTTTCAAATTGTAACATACCCGGGATGTTTACTAGACTCTTGTTCGGACAGATTTCAGTGAATTATTCCTAAAAATTACAGGCCTACAATAAAAAAAATACATATTTCCATGCAAAAAAATTTACCGCTTTGAGCACAGAAATATGGACATAATCAGACCGCTAGGGAGGTTAAAAACATTATAAACACCTGTGTAGAATATAAAACAACTATATAGATGCAGCATCAATTGGATGCCGCAGCTGTCCCTTGCCGACTCCACACTGAGAACTGAGCAATCAGAGAGCCCTGATTGCTCATTTGTTGGATCCGCTGTGAGCACTGCTCTGCCCCTCCAGCACTCACTAGAGCACCGGACTGTGGAGGGGGAAGTATCAGCTGGCTCAGGCTGTCATTGGTTTGCTAGCGGCTAAGCCAGCTTCTGGTCAGGCATCTGGTTGGATCCCGACATTATTGTTGGGATCCTTGCAGAGCCTGCAGCGGCTCTGTGATATCAGCTGATGCTGTCCATTAAATCTGTGTCAAAGGAGTGCAAAACTAAGTGCACTCCTGTGACCTCCTTTAAAATAGAAATCAGACATCTGAAATTCATAATGAATTGAATCTGTTATCGAATCAACGTCTCTGTTAGTTGCTTGTTGTGGGCTAATATTTTCTTCAGGGTATTGTAGTTTTCACAGAACTGTTTGTGACATAAGTGTGTCCTTGCCTGTCAGTCACTGGGCTCATGACGCCCTGGAGGATATAAAATTTCATAAGCACGCGTAGGAAGGGTCAGTATGCAGAGCATTAACCGCGCTACATACAAAGACAAGCAGATGGTTGAGGGGGCAGCCAATAGTGTGTGGGGGAGGGGAGAGCTTTTTCTGCCCTGTTCCATGATCTCATTGTATGTTTGTGTGTGTCAGCAGCAGTGTACAGCAGCATTGGTGATTAAAAACATTTAAAGCCTAACTCCGGGAAAATGAGAACTTGTCTTGTGCAGTGGGGCTGTGTCTGCACTGCAAGGTTAATTGCTTGTTTTGTGTACGGGAGAGGAGAACGCTTTTACTTACTTGATCCTCTGCTCCCCCAGCAAATGGTGTTCCCCATACTGTGATGGTGAGCTGTCCCATGTACCTTCTTCCCCTTATCCCCTGGACCATGGGAGAGAAATTGAGGAAAGTGGAAAGATAGCACTGGACCCATAGGGTTATCTTACTGGTATTGTTTTCCTAAGGTATTGGTGTTGGTGTAAATAATCTGGTTCCTGGGCAGGCAGCTTTTACACCATAGAGGATCTCCACAGCCTCCTTGGCTTGTAGTATAATGTAACGAGATTGAAGCGCCACACCACTGCTAAGAAGTCCAGATACAACTTTATTCCATTAAAATTCAGGGGTACAATTCAAAAAGTAGCCAACACGTTTTTCCAGTGTGAATTACAAGCACAGGCCTTATCAGAAGCTTGTTTGGCAGCTCATGGGGAGAAGACACTGGGGGTAGTGTCTAGCGGTGGGGAGGAGAGGACGATCAAGTAGGTAATCTTCTTTTATTGTTCTGCTAGACCAAAATTAGCAATTAACTATTGCAGTGCTGGCACAGCTCCTCAGCAGGGGACATTTATTTTAGTTATACACACAAATAAACAGCTCTATGCCCTTTAAAATGATCAAATATGTGTAGGCAGCATATCACCCCTTAAACTGTAAACTGTTAAAGTACCAGGCAAATGGTAAACAACATGAGCCTATAATCTATTAAGTATGGATTCATGTTTGCTGCTTTTTTTGGCACTATTGAGTTTTGTAATTTAAGGGGTGATATGCCTTTACATATTTTATTATTGTTAAGGGCATGCATATATGTATATATATATATATATATATATATATATATATATCCTTTTTGGTTACTTGTATAGCTGCCATAGGGGGTTTAAGGGGGAATCTTTTTGGGTTACAAGTTTTTAGTTGCCTGTAACTGGGGTTTAAGTGTGTATTTATATATACCAATGAACAGGTAAAATCCTTTCAATCCATAAATCAAGTGAGTTTATAACTTGATGTACGCCCTGTTCTCTTTCTTATAAAGTGTATCTAAAGAAAAAAAAAATAACATTATGAACCTGCCAGTAACATGCCTCCTGTGCTTGACTGTCAATGCTCAATTACTGCACTGTATGTTGTCACGCTTGATACTCTACTGATTTGAACTACAAGCACTTTTTCGTCTTCTCATCTCCATTAGATTGGTGGGGTGTTCTGTAGTTCAGGGCTTGAAATTTCCACTCGCCTGCTCGCCAATGGCAAGTGGAAATTATGGTGGGGGCGAGTGTGTCCCCCAGTGCCGTCTTGCTGAGCAGGCTCGGAGCTCAGGCCAGATCTGTCATTGGCACTGGGAGCCGCCAGACTGCTCAATAGCTGAGCGCAGTGAAAGCAAAGCAAGGAGTGTGTGCTGTACTCTCTGCCTCCCCCTAGAGTGCAGTACCCGGCTCTGTGAGTGAACAACGAAGTACTGCAACTTTTTTATGGGGGGGGGGGTGTGTGTGTGTGTGTGTACGTGTACATGTGTGTGTGTTTGTGTGTGTCTGTGTATGCATGTACATGTGTCTGGGTGTATGTACATGTGTGTATCAGTACATGTGTCTTGTAGACTTCACCTCCGCAACATCTCCAAGATACGACCGTTCCTAACCTCTGAAACCACTAAGCAACTTATTCACTCCCTTGTTATATCTCGCCTTGACTATTGTAACTCCCTCTTCATTGGCTTAACGAATCGCAGGCTATCCCCTCTTCAGTCTATCATGAATGCTGCTGTCAGACTCATCCACCTTACTAATCGTTCTGTATCTGCCACCCCTCTCTGCCAATTCCTCCACTGGCTTCCCGTTGCCCAACGGATAAAATTCAAAACATTAACAATAACGTATAAAGCCATTTATAACTCTGCCCCAAATTACATCACCAATCTTGTCTCCAAATATCACCCAAACCGTACTCTCCGTTCATCGCAAGACCTCCTACTCTCTAGCTCCCTTGTCTCCTCCTCCCATGCTCGTCTCCAGGACTTCTCCAGAGCTTTCCCCATCCTCTGGAACTCTCTACCCCAATTTATCAGACTATCGCCTACTTTGCTCACTTTTAGGTGATCTTTGAAAACCTATCTCTTCAGGGAAGCCTATCCTGCTCTCAGCTAATAATGGAATCTTCTACTCCTCCTACCAGTCCATCCCCCACAGTTACTACCTTTTGTACCACTAGCCCCTCCCTCCTAGATTGTAAGCTCCAAGGAACAGAGCCCTCAAATCCCTCTTGTATTGAACTGTATTGTTGCTGTATTGTCTCCTGTTATATTATAAAGCGCTGAGCAAACTGTTGGCGCTATATAAATCCTGTATAATAATAATAATAATAATGTGTCTCCGTGTATGTATATGTATGTGTGTATGTACATGTGTCTGTGTGTGTGTACATGTGTCTGTGTATGTACATGTGTGTTTGTGTGTATGTACATGTGTCTGTGTATGTATGTACATGTGTCTGTATGTATGTACATGTGTCTGTGCGTATGTACATGTGTCTGTGTATTTCTGTGTATGTACATGTATTTGTGTGTATGCATGTCCGTACGTGCCTGTGTGTGTATACATGTGTCTGTATGTGTGTACATGTGTCTCTGTGCGTGTGTGTACATGTTTCTGTGTGTGTATGTACATGTCTGTGTGTATTTCTGTGTATGTACATGTATCTGTGTGTATGCGTGTCTGTAAGTGCCTGTGTGTGTATACATGTGTCTGTATGTGTGTGTGTGTGTGTGTGTACATGTGTCTCTGTGCGTGTGTGTACATGTTTCTGTGTGTGTGTGTATGTATGTACATGTCTCTGTTTGTGTGTGTTTGTTGGTGGCGAGTAACTCTTAAGGCCTGGCTAGTAGCTCTGGACTTGAAATTTTAAGCCCTGTGTGTAGTTGATATAGATAGTTGAGAAAGCTGACATTATTTCAGATTTCAGTTCATGGCAAAAGAAGGTACAAGGATACTGGAAAAATGCTGGTAGGATTAAATGGATTTGTCTGTACTTGCAGAAAATGTACTAAAAAATAAAAAAAAAATGAAAAGAGCCACCACATCTAATGAATGGTGAGCTGTAATATATTAAACCTAGGGTTGGGTTTATATGTTCTTCAAGTAAAATATTATTTTCTCACTGGGCGGTTTGGTTTTTGATTGATATTATTGATATAATATGGACTTTGTATTATTTCTGTAATAACCACATTAAAGAAAGTAACTGCAGGGTGTAGCTTCCCATAGAGGGTCAGAAACAAAAGAGCATTATAAAACAAATATATCTAAAGTAATACAAATATGTAAGTGAATACATTTACTTTGCTGTCTCTTTAAGCGTAGTAATGTGATAACTGCAACATAATTTGTTTAATTGGCACAGAAATGACATTTCACTTTCCAAAGTCCAGCAAATGAATCAGGGACAGATGTGCTTTTTGAGCTTGCATCAAACTTTCTAGAACTGGAATTCTCTAAAGGCTCAGTGAACTTTGTGTTATATTAACATACTCTGAAAGATTGTGATTATGGTAGGGTTGAGGGAACAAACGGCCAGACTTTGTGATAGGTCTCCGAAGTACAAATGTGAATGTGCTTACTGCTACAGAAAAACAGTTATGTGATGTAATATTCTACTCTTAGCTGTCTTTTAGGTTAATAAACAACATATCTGTGTTCCTTAGGCAATAATACCTA